TGCAGTGCAACAATCATGTGCCACTTCATAGCTGGCCCACGTAACATGTCCACACGAGCAAGCCCTTCAGAGTCAAAACCCCATCATTCAACCTCAATTTCATATCACATGCAACACTGGCTGCCTTACAGTTAAAACACCCAGCCCCTCTTACATTAAGGATGACTCTGAAACCCTTTTAGGTCATGATACCCTAAACCTCCTGGTCTTGTCATCTACCACGTCTCCCATCCCCCATCCCCTCTGAAACCCCTCTCCTTTCCCCCACACTGGCACAAAGAGAAGGGACGCAAATTCTCCTGTGAGCATCTGGCACCTTCTGTTCTTACCCTCCCACCTGGAGCCACACCAAGCACATGCCTAGGGAGAGACCCCTTCCTGCTGCAGACCAGTCTCTTGGAGCTGGGCTGAGAAGCCCGCTGCCCCTGGCCACCTGATCCAAAGTCCCTCTGATGTCACAGGTATCAGAAAGTCTCACGTTCCTCTGTATTTTTCACACGCTCTGAAAAGGCAAGATTCCTCAGAAACAGATGCTTGTTCGTTCACAGTCTAGAGCAGTGGTTCTCAACCTGTGGGTCGCGACCCCCTTGGCGGTCGAACGACCCTTTCACAGGGATCGCCTAAGACCATCCTGCATATCAGATATTTACATGATGATTCATAACGGTAGCAACACTACAGTTATGAAGTAGCAACGAAAATAATTTTATGGTTGGGTCACAACATGAGGAACTGTATTTAAAGGGCCAGAAGGTTGAGAACCACTGCTCTAGAGGTTTCTCTAGAATTCAAGGAAGTGCACAAGGAATGCCTTCTTCATTCATAGTGCCCAGCTACTCCTGAAAACATTGGGTGCTTTCTCCCTCCAGCGTGCAGTCCCACTGCTGTGAGCGTGCTGGGGCAAACTATTTCAGGTACAGAGCTTGGGGAAGTTGTCTGGTTTTCTGACAAACCTTTTGATTTACGACTCTGAGCCTAAGTTGTGCAGGATTTTGGAGAAGGACCAATTCCATTTGCTAACAAGTCTGATACCGAGGCTTGGCATTGCCAACAACCGCGCAATCACTTGTTTTTAATTACTCTTTGATTCTACCACGGGGCGAAATGCACCTCCCTAACCCTTCAACTGCACAAGATTCTAGGTAGAGGCTGCTTGGTTGTTAAACTCAGTTCAGGCAGAGCATCTTTGCTCAGAGTTATTTTAGGTGGCCTTGACTTTTTCAAATGAAGAGTAGCAATTTCATCCTGAAAGAATCCTCCCCCCACACCTGATTTTCTTCAAACATCATTTATTTGCCAAAGGACTCTGAACCTCACAGCAAAGCTGTATAAAGCTTAGAAAAACAAGATGATTTAAAGTTTCTATTTTTACGCGGTGTCCCGTTTCCAGAGGGGCTGAGACTAGCGGTTTCAAACTCAATTTAGCATTTAAACTAATTTCAGCCAGGTCTCCATGGACCAGCAATTAGGGAAGGCAAGGAGTTCAAAGAGGGGGGGTGCGTGTGGTCTTTCCGGATGCGCCTCCGCTCCTTCCCGCAGACCCAGCGGGCAGGGAGCACCTGGGGCGTTGCATTTGGTGTCTGGAAAGGCACCAAGGGCCAAGTCCATTGATTCCTTCTCCAAGCTGTCCTGGGGAAGGATCTGAAAACTTCCTGAAGACTCTGCTGCACGCTGCAGGCCAAGACGTACAATGCCAGGGACAACAAGAGAAGAAGGAGCCCTTTCAGCTCCCAGAGCCACAAGGGCCTCTGGGCCTGGTCTTCGAGGGACCCCTCCCCCAGCTGGCAGTCCGGGCGGTGGAGAGCACACACTGGGCCCTGGACGCCTGCCTGCATCCTCCTCCCAGCCCTGCCGCCATCCTCATCTGTGGCCACAGCACTCTGAGCCTCGGAGTCCTAACTTTTTAAAAATGTATTTTGATTTTGTGTGGTAGTTGTATTTAGGTCATTTAAGATCAAGGCACAAATTTTAATAGGTACAAAAGGGTACACAGTGGCAAGTCTCTGATTGTCCCAGCTACTCACTCTCCTTCCTCAGAAGCAATTCTTACCCTTCCTAAGTACCCTTCCAGAACATGAATTCCTTTGGGAGCTTATCTTCTTTTGTGATTAGTTTTACACAGTGGTATCATATATTTTTTAAATAGTATTTTTTTTTATTGATTTCAGAGAGGAAGGGAGAGGGAGAGAGAGATAGAAACATCAGTGATGATAGAGAATCACTGATAGGCTGCCTCCTGCACACCCCATACTGCAGATCAAGCCCGCCACTCGGGCATGTGCCCTGACCGGGAATGGAACTGTGACCTGGTTCATAGGTCGATGCTCAACCACTGAGACACACCAGGTGAGCAGTGGTTTAACACTTTTCATGCTATTCTGTACCTTTTTTTTTCTTTTTTACTTAGCAGTACATCTTGGATAATATTAAAGATCCAAGGTTCTTTCCACCCTTAATATTTCTTGAATGAGGGAACAAAACAAAACAAAACAAAAAAAACCTCCTCAATATTTTTTGTTTATAAAAATTCTGAGATGGTCAGCCTTACAACTCTCATCGTAATTCTTCATGCCAATGTAAGCAACTCACTTTCAGGACACTTTTCCTCCCAGAGCCACAACCATATGCCTTTGCTTTCCCAACAACCAGGCTCTATTTAGTGAGATGCCAACCCGGAGAACCCCTGTCTCCAGAACCAGGGCAGGGAGTGAGAGAGAATCATCTGCAGCTACAATCTTAGGAATACTGATTTTACCTTTTAGGTTTTAGAAAGAGCCATGCCAACAGAAAGACTATAGTAAGTTTGAGGGAGAAGAAAGAGGGGTAAGAATACAAAAGTTATATTAATACTTCTTTTCTTGGAGCCCTAAAAAGAACTTAAGAGAGCAAAGAGCCTACGTAGGCATCTGCAGGTGAGAAAATGGAATTGTAACCTGAGTGTGTGCAAATGACCAGCCCAAGGTCAGGTACAGAGTTGGAGACAGAGGTCCTGAATCCACCCAGGCAGCTCTGGGCTGTACCCTAGCTCCTTGAGCAACTCAGCCTCCTTCCTCCTTCCTCAGCCCCTTGCCTCACTGCCCCTGAGTTGTGGCTGTTTTGCTGCTCATTAGTGTCTCCCCTGCAGGGTGCGCAGGAATGAAAAGGACTCTGCTGGCTTAGCTGATCTCCCTAAAGGTTCAGAGAGAGGCAGGGGCTGGTGTTCTTGGCTCACAGTTTTCTGAATTATCTGTGGACCATTTTTATTCATGACATTCTTACCTCCCATCACCAGAGATAATTTAAAAGTCAGCTAGAGTAGACTGTACTCAGAGGAAGACAAATTTATGTATGAAAATCCCCTTTCCCGGCTGCTGTCACACACCAAAGATTTCAACAAAAGTGCTATTTAGCTGCGCAGACTCTGGATAATGCTACCAACTAGAAAGGTCCCATGATGGGACTGGAAGCTCATTACTCCTCCATTTTCCCCCGAACCAGGCCCTCACCCAGGTGCCACTCTGTGGGAGATTCTCCTCCTATGCCTTTGCACCAGTGGGCAGAACCCTCCCCCACCTCGCCCATCCCAAGAGGATGTCTGGAAGTGGGCATGACGGTGCCCTCTTGCTCGCTGCCCTAACTCACCTCTTCTGCCTCAGTGCCTCTGGCACTTCGTGGACCTGGCTCCTGCTCTCCACTGGAACCACCCCGAGGCATCCTGAGCCATGCTGGTGCGCTTCCTGGGGGTACAGAGCCCAGGGAGCACTGGGTCTGAAGCCCCCCGGCCTCAGTTGGCCTCACCTCACACACAAGACCAGCCCTGACCAGCGTCCAGAGGAAGCAGCCTCCGCCAACTGGGCTTCCTCAGCAGATTTCCCACAATTATGAGAAGGGTGACTTCCAGCACAGGAGCTCACAATAGCACAGCTTAAAGACAACACTGAGTGGTTTTGGCAGGGGAAGGATTCTGTGATCTCTCCACTAGTCATGAATGAGCTCAAAGGACTACGAAGAAAAAAAGAGTTTTTTTAAAAATGAATAAACTGCCAAACATAAGTCAAAGAAGACCCTGCAATTAGAATTGCTGATCTAGAGAAAACTGCCTGCCGTCCTGGCCCTCCGTGATCAGAGCCCCGCACGCCCGCCCTGCCTGGAGCACCCCCAACTTCTGCCGTGGAAACACTCGAGTTCCACGAATTCTGAGCCCCTGGGAAGAAAGTGCTTTGTGAATTCCACATATAATTATTGGACTATCATTCAAAAAAGGAACATTGTAAGGTTTTCATCGTTTCCTGCCCCGACCCCGACCCCCATCCTCCCTTTTGATCCCAGTAACTTTACCTTTAATTTAGTCAAGGGTGGGGTCTGGAGAAAGAGGTTTGGGTTCAAGTTCCCCTGAAACTAACTGTGTGACCTGGGGCAGGAGGCTAAACCCTTGAACCTTAGCTGCCTCTTCTGCCTATGAGGGTGCTAAGGTCTGCCTCAGAGGGTCGCTGTGAAGTCTGAAAGCAGTCATGTGGGCGGGAGATCTTCATGGGGTCTACAGCCCAACGCAAACAACACTGAAGCTGCTCCCAGGAGCCTCCTGCCGCCCCCAGGGCTGGGCTCACTGCTGTGCTCCTCTGTCTTTCCCACGTTTCCATCATGTTTTCCTTTATTAACCACCCATCCCAAGAGGACATTTCCTAGAGTATTCGAGTTGAGAGGAGCCTCAGGAATTTTCTAGAACTACCCAAGACCCTACCATACCACCAACTCTAGAACCACCACCCACATCAAATACGAAAACCGAGGCCCCAGATCACAGAGCACATTGGTGGCTGACCCAGGTCTCCTGACGCTGGCTATGGGTCCCTGTCCCAGAAGTCCTCCGAGACTCCTCTCACCTCCCGCCACTACCTCCCTCATGACTCAGCTCTCTCTCTCTCTGTCATGGGGTCCCTCCGACCCCAGGGACACAACATGCCTTTAGGTCCCTCAGTTTACTTCACTGCAGGGCCCTGAGGTAGTCAGCATTGGGGTACCTTAGCGTTCTGCAGGGGGGGCTGGTAGCTGGACGGCCGGTAGAACGTCCTCTGGGCTGCATCGGTGTGGATGTCGCCAAGGAAGAGCTCCTCTACCAGGCGGTCCAGGTGGTGCTGCAGGTACTGCTTCTCCACGCGGAGGAGCTGCAGCTCGTGCATGGCGAAGTTCACGGCCCTGGTGCACTCGCAGCCGTCCTCCTCCTGCAGCAGGTCGTAGGGCACGTCCTGCACCCAGGCACCTCCGGCGGGGACGAAGCCGGGGCACGTGCGGTTCACCAGCTGGCTGAGCCTCTCGGCCACCGCCTCCGTGTGGGAGATGACCTGCACGCTGTGCAGCTGGTAGTCGGCCTCCGTGCCCCCGCGGATGATCCAGGAGGCCTGGCGCAGGCGGATCTTGCCTCGGATGATGAGCGTGTAGGTGGGGCTGGTGCAGCGGTTGCCGCCATAGTAGAACTGGTAGGCCTTGAAGGTGTTATTGTGGTAGAATCTGTAAGACCTTGTGATGAACTCTGGGCCCGACCTCACCTCACAGCTGAAGAAGAAAAGAGAAAGAAAGACTTTATTTAAGTCCAAAGGCACGAGGTAGAGATTCATTATAGTGTTAAGATTCATTACAAAATACTTACACTATTCTAAGTCCTGTATAGGTACCAGTTCACAGAATCCTCACAATAACCTATGAGTTAGGTAGGTATTATTATTGCCCATATTTTACAGATGGGGAAACAGAGGCACAAGCGATTAAGAAGCAGGGCCAGGGTCATATAACCAGGCAGCATCAGAGCCACAGGGTGACCCAGAGCAGTCCAGCCCCAGCTCTATGCATCTAATCGCTCTACAGCAGAAAGCCTCTGTTTCACTTTATGAACAAGCCAGGAGAGCAGAAACCCACCATCAGCAGTTCCACCCATGGGCCTAACTGACAGCAAAATGTCTCCCTCACTGGTAGGAAGAAGGAAAAGTAGTATATTTCTGGCCGATAAAAGAAGTTCACTATGCGAGTTCAGAAATGCCTGGTTTCCCGACAACTTCTGTTTCATGGAGCTTGTCTACAGCAGGCAGGGGCTAGATGTCCATTGTCCTGAAATTAAATCTCATCTTGGGGAGGCGTCACTTAAAGGCAATCAGAAATCCACCCTCCCAGCCAGTCAAAATCAATCCCCCTCCCCAGAAAAATAAAGAGGCAATTAGTAAAATAAAGCTAACATAACAAAAGTAATCAAAGTTCCTTTTGTTTTGCGCGGTTGACAACAAAATGTATTTTGCTGTAGCATGAGATAGATGATAGATTCCTAGGCCAGAAATACCTGGACTGGGTCAACAGGAGCACAAACGGCTCAGTAGGTTTTAACTTAGGGACGTTTCTCCCCCCTAGAAAGAGAAGTTAAATGTGAGCAGCGATTAACATCCCTTGAGGTGGAGCTAAGAAGATCACTTACATCTAATATTTTATTTAAGCACTGATCATCTGCTGATTTGGCCTCTGGAGTTCAGCACATGTCAAGTCTATCCACCTCTCTGTCCGCCCCACCGCCATCCTTAACCTACGCCTCCTTCATCTCTAGCGGGAACTGTTGCAAGTCTTTTCATTGGTCATCCCCAAGTCATGCTTTCTACCATCCATGTGCCACACGGCAGCCAGAGTGCCAGAGCTGAATCATGTCTGAAGCATGGCCCTTGTTGAAAACATATCCATGACTTTTCATTCTCTTAGATTAAAAGCTGAACTCACAGAGGAGACCTGGCTTCGAGGTACCCTGAGAGCTGAACTCGCCCTCCTCAGCAGCCTCTTTTGGAGCTGTTCTCCTTGGTGTATACACCCCAGCCACAGGGCTCTGCACCAGCGGTTTCTCCACCCAGGCTTTGCTAGTTCTTCCAGATGGAAAGCCCCTCCCCTAGTCTTTGCAGAGCCAACCACATCTCAGCTCAAGTGTCCTCTTCTTTGCTAACCTTTCCTGACCCCACCCTGTCCTAAAATAGGGCCCCTGGTAGTCTCCTGTAGCACCTGTTGTTTTTTCCCCTCATCATAGTACTTCTTTGTGTGTTTATTTGTAAAATTCCTGAAGACAGGGACCATGTTTATTGTGTTCACTGTTATAAACACAAAATCTAGAATAATACTTGGCACACAGTTATTATTTGTGTACTCAGTAAATATTTGTTAAATAAAACAATAAATTATTTAAAAAGGACATCACATTAACATTGTTTGTGCAAATATTTATCATGTATTTATTTTGAGAAACTCCATTTTTTTATGGAAAAAAGCCTCTGGGTCTTCATCATCTTATAAAATTCCTTTTCCTTCTGCATATTTATTTGATCCCTCCCCAAGGTACCCAGAGACTGCAGGGGAGAAGTGATCAGATCCCAGAGTTAGCCTTGTTAATTCTCAACAATTTAATGGGTAGGAGAAAAACTGCAGGTCTGCCACTAGGCTATTTTTAAAAGCTCTAATGGAAGATAAGCCAGAGCTCAAACTGGGATAAATCTCAGCTCCGCAGCCTGGAAAAGAATCCAAGAACTACAGCCTGCCTAGTAGAGGTAGCTTGAGAACCTTTTAACTTACTCTTAGAACCCTAAAGCCACATATTAAATTACCAGAATATGGCTGGAATATTTAGACCATCAGAAACTTGCAAGTCATGTTTCAGGGTTGGGGAAACACAGACTCCTAATTTCACTTGCTAATGGTTTCTTTTTATACAGAAGTGGTCCCACAGATTCAGTAAACAAGGACCTATTCACTCACACCCTGTGGTGCAATATCATCTCTGCTTTAGCTGCGATTTCTACAGTACTCAGCTCTGTTTCTTTACCAACCAGAATTTCAAAGCGTTGTTTGGCTCTTAGAAGTTAGACAACACCTGAATCATTGTACATTATATAAAGTCTATGTGCATCTGAGTCCGAGAAACCCTAAGAAGGGCCTCCCATAGAAGTGTGCTCCCCGGTCCCTCCTGCCCTGGCCCTCTTACCCAGTGGACACCCAGTGGCCTTCGATCGCAGGTGGCATCTGCACAGTGATCCTTGCTCCATTGTGGAGATGTTTGAGCATGTGATGACACTGTGATTCCTTAAACGCCCTCCAGGCACTTTTCTCTAAGGATCTAGGATGTGATCTGCTATCTGGATGAAGGAGGGCAGAACCCTCTCCCAGCCCTGAAAAAGAATAGTGGGAGTTAGCGGAAAGGTGGGTAACAGCAGACATGCATCAGGCTGAAGACCCACCTCTGTGGCAGGAAAATCAATGCGGGTGGGAAACACCCACCTACCCTGACCCCACCAGGCTTTCTCACTGCCTCTGCTTTCAGAAATACACAGTCCAACGTGGGAAGTGTCCTGGAGATCATTTCCCAGGTGAGAAAACAGGTCCATGGTGATAATGAACATGGACTTGCATGAGGTCACTTGGCTAGTTCCTAACAAAGCCTGAGCTCCGATCCATGCATCTATGAAATAGCGAAAGGTCATGCATCTAAATGAGCCGTTGTGCAGTGCTGACCAAGGAATGCCACTGGGGCATGTAGAGGGGAGAAATGGACATGTCCTAGAGACGCCAAAGAGGAGGAGATGGGACTGAAGGGAGATGGGACAGGAAGGGTGACATGTCAGTGGCACGTTTAGGTGAGGAAGGGAAAGAGTGAGGAGACCAGCCTCAGTGCAAAGGGAATTTTGATGGAATGGAAAAAGGCCCATGGAACAGCTCCCAAAACTTCTAACTGTGATCTGCTCCCTCATGTGGCTCCCATCTGCTCACATCAGGGCCTGCATCTTCTGGTTTCTCAGTCTCCAAATGGATGCCTTGTCAGTGGAGCAAGTCATATACCTGCCCTACAATGGAGGCATGACATTTCCCCCAATATCCTCCAAGTCCGGCCCCTTCTCACCCCCACAAAGTCGGTGACTAGATACACAATATAGAGTTTAAAATTGAGAGTGATTACAAGAAGACTGCACATTTTTTATTTCCCAGGGGTAAAGGAATACTAGGCCTAAGTTCATCTGCAGTATAAGTAGTTTATCCTACAAACAGTAGTAAATTCTCACCAGTCTAGTGTTGAGAATAAAGCAATGAAAACAAATGGAGTTATAATCCGAAAGCCCACTGTTTCCTTTGAGATTCACTACTGAAGTAATTAACAAGTCGATAGGTCTTTATTACGTATCTACTACATTTTCAGCACTATGTTAGCTAGACATACGTACAAAAATAAAATTTAAATATATGCAAAATAGATGAAATGCATCCACTAGCATGCTACCTATGAGGAGGCAATTATATACACCTGAATAATTTCAAAAAGTAACCATGGTTTATCACAGATATTTTGAAAATGAAAAGTTAGACCCAGAATACAGCAATTTATACCAACATGATGAAAATCTACTGGAGAAACTCAGACCTGCAGGTTGATAACATGCAAACATTTATAAAATATGCAGAAATTTGCCAAGATTCAGAGGGTTGATCAGAGTGTTGACTTCTATCGAAGGTCTTTTGAAAAGTCTCATCGAAAGCTCTGAGAAGATAAGTCTACACAGGGGCAATCTCGGGTTCTTCCTCTGAGTAAAATGCTCCCCTGGGATGCAACAGCAGCCTCGACTGTTCTCGCAGAGCTTAAATGAAGTGAAAGGCAACGAGGCAAAGACACTATGGGTATGATTCACCTAAATGAAAATTGTAAAAGGAGACTGGAAAACCACATGATGGTAAGGACCCTGCCCCTGCAGTTGTTGAGCTGTGGCACTGCACCAGGTGGAAATCCAGGGATGAACTATTCGCCATCCTACCATGGACTGCTGTCCATACTGTGTCTTCTGAATAAGTATTTATCATGATTTCTAATGTGATCCCTATTTGCCTGACACCTGTGTGGATCTCTCAATTAGCTCTGAACTAGAGAGAAAGACACAACTTACTGGACCTCCACCAACCCCAAATAATTATCTTGATGATAGGAACCATTTCCCATAGCACAACATGCTGTCTGGTAATCAATTATGATACAGCTAACAAAGTAGATTTGAATTCAAGTCACGAGGCACTGGGAGTTGAGGAAGGTTCTCCTTTAAATATGACACTAAACATTCAGTAAAGATGCCGTCAACTCACTATCAACCAAGCTATGTGCTAAAAATTGATTTGTAAAACCCTTTAACCCCTGAAAATGTCTTCCTATGAAGATAAAAAGCCTGGAGGATAGTGGATATGAGTGAAATCTCCAGAGCTAGGCTGCTTGAGTTAAAAACTGGATGTGCCGCTTAACGGATTTCATCCAACCCAAGACTTCAATGATTGTTAAGATACACCATTATTTTATTACAAGGCAAAAGCACTTGTGTTTAAATGATGACATGATGCCTTGACAGTCTTTAGCTATCCATGAATCATGCACAGCAGCCTCTGGTTGCTTTGACATTTCTTTTACCTATTCAAAAAGATGTGGCAATCTCCTGCCTTTAGTTGCATTGCTTCATATGTAACAGGTAATTCCTTTGCTTTGCACCTATCTCAATAACACAACACAAACACATCCTCATCTTTCTGTTGATATCTCTCTTTCTAACCAAGTGATTGTTTCCCTGTGAGGAAATATTGAATTGAAGTTCTTTCTCCAGTGATCAATATTTGCTTCACTAATGTCAAACAGCACTCCACTGCTCAGTCAAGAGGCCTGTCTTCCCTGGCTGGTGTGGCTCAGTTGGTTGGAGCAATGTCCCATGGACTGAAGGGTCACAGTTTCAATTCCCAGTCAGGACACATAGCCAAGTTGTGGGTTTGATCCCCAGTCCAGGAGTGTACAGGAGGCAACATATCCTCAGGTAAGGATTAAAAAAAAGAGGCCTGTTTGATTTTCACAGTGAGTAATTTTTCTTCTGTGCTGAGAGTGTAATTTATAAGAATTATGGAGGAAAAAGAGACAGCATGCTTGGCTCAAATGTTTACTCTATTTTCAAAACCAGCCTATTTGCCACTAAACTCAAGATACAGGGTACCAGGGATGCACATAAAGAAGTGAGTGATGTAATGACATCTGTGCATCTGATGAGCAGCTGTGTTCAGGCAAAGACAGTGTCATCCTCTCATAACTGCCGTCTGCAGGCTAACAAAGACTGAAACCTCATTGACCTTAAGATATACATCCATTGCAAAGATCTTCAAATATATATATTACTACTGATGAAACATACTGTTAGCACTGTGACCTTAAATTAACCTCTCAGCTTCAATCTGCTCATCTGCAAAGAGGAGATGACACTACCCATCTCTTAGAGTTGGTTTCTTTTCTTAACACAGGGCCTGGCACAAAGTTCTCATTAAATGTTAGCTGTTGTAATTTTAAATAATAATTAGGCTCTTCGACTGCTCTCAAAAAGTCCTTCCTAGCTAATAGTACAGGTAAAATAACGGTAAAAAGTCATCCAGAGCCAGGCTCACTCTGAGCTCTAGGAAGGACAGAGTGCTCAGAGTAAAGGCACAGGGCTCTCAGGCACAGTTAACTGATGCAGAAGAGGGTAGAACCCAAAGTGCTGGTTTCTGTGGTTGTTGACAAGTTCCACTCAGTTTAACAAATACCTATTCACTGTTACTCAACATATTTTAGAGGCCGGAAGGAAGCATAAAGGAGAATAAAGGTAAGTTCTTCTGACCTTGAAGCTCTTAAGGTCTCACTGGCCTAGATGTCAGAGAACAAGGGTAGAGATGATGAAGGAAGCTCTGGCTAATCACAATATTTGGATGTTGAAAATTCTGCCATTGTATGTTGAATGCAGTTGACAGAGATGATCTTTCTCAGATGACTCAGGTTGTTAAAGTGGCTCAAGGTCACTAGGAACATCACTGCCCATAGGATAGAACTTTAGATACAGAGGTACTGGAGTGAACAGGGTAACAGCTCTGTTTAAGCCATGAAGGGGTCCCCCCCCCCCTTGTTTTTCTTATAAGACAAGAGTGATAAAGCCTATTATTTGGTTAATTGAGGATTCTAGATGTTTTGGTTAATTGAGAAGACTAATTAATTGGGTTCCCATTAAGATTTTGCTGTAAATTAATCCAAGGAAAAAAATTTCTCTAAGAATTAAACAATAACCATAAAGTAAGAAAGTAGCTGTGAGTTTTCAGTCTTCAAGGTAGCTTTGGATTAAATCATCTGATATGTGCCCTTTTTCCTGTATAAAGTAATAATTATAATAATGGTGATAACTAAAGTTTGTAAACACTTTAAATCCACTTTATGCATATTTTGTCTCATTTGTCAAATGATAGTTACGATACAGGTAAAGAAAGGAGTAAGTAGAGGACCACATTTTACTGTTAAGTGTTTCATAAAGAGCTAGCCCATGATACCAACTACACTGGAAGCTCTCCTTAGCACTGTTCCCAGTCCAGTGGAATTGGGAATCAGAATGCTTCACTATAGAATGGTCTATAGAATGGTCTCCAGCTTCAGGGTCCATGACCTGGGCCCAGAAGAAGTTATTATGTACCACAAATAATATGACAAGTATAGGAGAAAAAAATAGACTCTGGAAGGAAATTGTTCACCTGTTGAAACAAATTAATTCTTGAAGACTTCAGGGTACAATTTTATAGAGTACCACTTCCAGAGAACTGAATGAGATCCTGGGGTTTTGGAGTGTTTATTCATGTGCACACATGTGTGCGCCTGTGTGTATTCATGCATGTGTGTGTATATCATGAGTGATTTACTCCCAAGGAATAAATTACTCCACAACAATAATCCTAAATGACTGTAGAATGATCTTAATTGCTATCATCAATGCAATAGTCTACTCTTCTGAGAGTGAAAAATCCCAATGCTATCCAATAAAAACACACACAGATTTCCTGAAAGAAAGGAAGCATAGGGTTGACCATTTCTTCAGAGATTTACACCTAAATACAAAGCCTATGTGACCAGCTAACTGAATTGGTCAGATTATGCATTCTAAGGACTGCTTAGCAGTTTTCACAGGGGCAAAGATAGGACTTCTACTATAGTCATCTGCAGCAAAGCTTATTCCTAAACCCATGGTGCCCTCAAGAGCAACCCAGGCCACTGATGGGACCACACAGAAGGGTGAAGGGGTACAGTGACTGCTTGCCTTTTGAAAGTCAATATTCATACATTCAATAAAGAGTTGAGAGACTTCTATGT